GCATGTGCACATGCGTGCAGATGTGCATGCATACTTACCACCCACGACGCTCCGCGATGCCTCTGCAATGCTCCAGCTGCTTGGCGGAGCATCGCACAGGTGCTGTATGCTCCATGCGCTGAAGCCCCGAAAACTTCAAATACTGGTAAGGAGCGCAGGCGGGCGGGTGGGCTCTCCGAAGCACCATACCAGAATGGTACCTGGCGCTTCCACCACTGCAATGACAAAATATTCTCACAGCAATGACAGAAATTCAGATTTCAGCATTCTTCTTCTTCTTCTTCTTCTTGACAACTTGCAGAGCTAAATGAGGGAAAATTTATCCCAGACCATTTTTGACATTTTCTCCTTTGCCTAAAATATGAAACTTTGTATGTTAAATGTTATGCAATCTTAGTTTGGAAGCAACCTGTAAGGGTGTTTTTAATGAAAATTGGCTATTTTAAATACAATTTTTACTAGTCATTGAATGGACTGAACTGTAAAAGTCTTCATTTGTAACCTCTGATTGCTTTGCGTAATAATGCAAGCCTATGGTAAAATACAAATTCACTGACTTTTTTGCCCTACAAAATGTGTTTTAAATGCAGACTAACCCTTTGATTCTTAGACAGGAAAGACAGAAAATATCGCAGTATAGCATCTGGCATACTTTTAGCTCAGAGATTAAATCTTTCTGATCTTGCTGTTTATAAATCGTAGTAGAAAGGATTGTTATTGAATAGTTATCACATCCATCACTAAACTGTACTAAATTTGGATTGGTGCAATAAATTACAGTGTTCAGAAACAGCCATTGGGGTCAGATCTATTTTATGGTTTGCAAAATTCCTATTTCCTATGCTACAAGTAGTAAAGGGTTTTTATTTATTTGGATTCATTTAAATAGTTTGTGTCTAACGAACTTGAAAAATGTGACTCTGAGAAACTAAAAGATTAAAAGGAAAACAAGATAACAATAGGTGTAAAAGAATGATGAGGAAATATAAAATATAAAACAGCATGATCAGAGGCCCAAAGGACAACATATTCAAACTTCTTAACAAATTTTCAGATAGGTTATCCAATGTCTTAATCCAGTGGAAGGTGCAGTTAACACACAACAATAACCGGTGGCCAGGAAAGGTGTGTGCTATAATAAAGCATTATGTACAGATCTGCTATGATTTGGTGTGTACAATAGTTAAAGATCCAATTTAGGTCTCTGAAAGGTCACAGATTTTCTACCTTGAATTCACATAATCAGTGCTATTATTGTTTAAAAAAATTAAATAGAATAACAGAGTTGGAAGGGATCTTGGAGGTCTTCTAGTCCAATCCCAGGCAGGAAACCCCCACACCACCTCATACAAAGGGTTATCTTCTTAAAAACTTCCAGCGTTGGAGCATTCACAACTTCTGGAGGCAAGTTGTTCCACTGATTAATTGTGGCACAGTGGTTAAATGCAGCACTGCAGGCTACTTCAGCTGACTGCAGTTCTGCAGTTCGGCTGCTCAAATCTCACCGGCTCAGGGTTGACTCNCTTGTGTGAGATGGGTGGTCATATACATTGAATAAAATAGAATTAATATAAAATACATGTGTGCAACTACAGCTATCCTTGCCTTTCCTTTTTCAAGTACATGCTTTTTAAAAATTCAGATATTTTTTCCCTGACTGCTAGGGTTTTTCTTTAATAGCTAAAGGTAATTGTAAAGGAAGAAAAAAGGAATATAAACAATATATTGTGACTCTTGACACTCCATTGCTTTCTTAAATGAGAATAATAAAATTTTGCAGATGAACAAAAGAGTGGGAGGAAGCTATCTGATTTACAATGTTTTTGAGATAAAGAACACCATAAAAAAAAAGAGAGATCAATGTGAATAATAAACCATTGTTAACTGAGTCATGACATTTCTATTCTTAGGGAAAATTTGAAGAGTAGAAATCTGCAAATGAGCACCTTATGCCATTTTCAAAGTGGGAGGAAGATGTGTAATTATAATTTCTGAAGTGGTGAAAGTTTTATTTTAAATTGCAGGGGAAAATAATTGAAAAACATATCGACATATCAATATTACATAAATTGCTTTAATTTTATTAAGCTGGATGTGGGAGCAAATCTTTTCTTCTTTTTCTTCTTCCTGCCATTTCTCTTTCTCCCTCCTTTTACAATTTCTTGTTTTGCATGATGTTCTGGCTACAGAATATCCTCCCCAAAAGCCATTTTTATTACAAAAAGTACAGCAGGAGAACCATAGGAGAGACGAAATGCCTCCAAATGTCAACCCTATCATACATTTATCCTGCTCCTTCCAGTAGTTTGAGACCCATTTAAAAATTTCCTATTTTCAACATGGATTTCACCATTTGTTTCTTGAGGGTCTATCTTTCAATGCCTTTTCCTGACACATTTAATATTTGCAAAATGAACGTCAGTTATTTTAATGAAACAATGAAAAGAAAAACAAGCTTTCTTCCCAAATGTCTAAGTTAACATGGCTTGAGGTCCTTACATTTTCCTTAATCAAAGGGACGAGGAATCACGGATGCAATCGCTGACAAAATAATTTCATCCCATTCAGACTTAAAGTAGCTGTGCAGATTAACAGTCAAGAATGAAAGGAACTGTAAACTGACTTGCAAAGTATGCTGGTCCTCACACTTTGTGGACAGAGTACAGGTAGTCCTCGACTTACAACAGTTCGCTTAGGGCCAACAGCACAAAAAAACCTCAGCGTTTTTCACACTTATGACCATTGCAGCATCTCCATGGACATGGGATCAAAATTCAGATGCTTGGCTATTGCATCTATGACGGTGGCAGTGTCCCTGGGTCATGTGATCCTCTTTTGCGACCTTCTGATAAGCAAAGTCAATGGGGAAACTGTTCTGACCCCCCTCCGTCTGGTGATTAATGCCGACACAGGCTTAGTAGTTTGCCACTCTTTATTTACAGCAATTACAATCCTATTGGCTGAAAGCACACCACAACTCACAGGCAAGAGTTGCCAGACTCCAACAGACAATGCAGACTAGAACTTCTCCAGCTTGTTATGAATGGTTTTGTCCTGCAAAAGGGCTCCTCCCTAAGTCTCTTCTTATATACTCTCTTGGGATGAGCCAAGCCACAACCACCTGGGCTTGATTATCTCTTATGAGTCTGTCTCCGTAACTGCTGCCTCCGTTTCTCCGCCCTTTGTTGCTGGTTGTCAGGCACAAACTCCCTTTGATCTTCACCACTGTTCCAGTGCCTGACGCCAGGGACAAACTCCCTTTGATCTTCACCACTGCTCCATACCTCAGGCGCCTCCTGGTGACCAACCAGCCTCCTTGGTCCCTGCTCGGAGTCTGAACCTGCCCAGGGTCCTCCACATCCTCCATAGTCGACTCATAGG